TCTGACTTGCTTGCCTTTGTATGTGACCCTTCTGTTTTCTCTTGCTACTTTCAGAAGCGTCTCCTTGTCTTTGAGTTTGGAGAGCTTGACTATGATATGTCTTGGTGATTTTCTTTTGGGGTCCACACTTCCTTGACTTCGTTGGGCTTCTTGTATGTTTATCTTTTCACTTTTGATGATGTTAGAGAAATTTTCTTCCAGTAGTTCTTCGACTATTTCCTCTGTGGACTTGTGAGATTCTTCTTGTTCTGAAACGCCTATAATTCTCAGGTTATTCCTCTTCATGTTGTCCAACATGAATCTTAGACCTTCCTCCGATTTTTTTTTACCCTTTTTTGTGTTTGTTCTTCTATCTTAGTGGTATTGAGAGACTTGTCTTCCAGCTTACTGATTCTTTCTTCCATTTCATTTATTCTACTCCTCTACCCTTTCAGAGTAGTTCCTATTTCTGATATTTTGTTATTGATTGTTTGGACCTCTTTCTGTAGGTTTTGGATTATTACCAATGCTGTATCTATCTTGTTTGATTGTTCCTGTAGCACTTTCCTGACTTCTTCCTTATTTTTCTCATCATCATTGTAAAGTGTTTTGAAACATTTTATAATCATTTTTCTGAATTTTCTCTCAGGCATTTCCAAGGCCTGACCTTCTTTCAGCATGGAGCCCAGATCTGCTTCTGGATCATTTATCTCACATATTTTATCTTTTTTTCTGGACATGTGCTGATATGGTCATCTGCTTTTGCTTCTTGGACATGTTTAATGTTAATCTGTGGCCTTAATACTTAATTGAGTATGTATTTTGGTAATTTTTTATGTTTTCTCATTGCTTCCAGGAAGATGTAGTCAGGATGTGGTCTTCCCTTTTCAATCTTCTTATTGCTTAATTCAGAGTAACTTTACAGGTGTTGCCTGCTTCCTTGGTATATGTCAGCTGGTATTGGTTCTTGCCTGGGTTTTGGTGTTTTATAAAGTGTTATTGCAGCTTGGCTATTTGGAAGCAGTTGCTGACTCTTTTTGTGTAATGTAGGGAGACAAAGAGTCCTCTGATACCAGAAGGGAGGCTTTGTGACAGCCAAACAAGACCAGTCGGGTAGAAAACAAAACCAAAACAAAAATAAAAAACAAAGGGATAATGAGAGAAAAACAAATCAAGACAAAATAAAAAAAACAGATGGAAAAAAGAAAAGAAAAATTCAGCACCAGAAAAAACAACAAAATTGAATAAGGCAGTCTCTAGTCAAAATAATAACAAAAGCGATAATTAGAGAAAACAAAGCAAGACAACAAAGAAGAAGAAGAAGAAAAAAAAAAGATGGGAGAAAGAAAAAAATATAAAAAGAAGAAGAATTCAGCATCAGAAAAAACAACAAGATTGAATAAGGCAGTCTCTAGTCACACACACACACACACACACACACACACACACAAAGACCCTGTCTAGGGTTTCCAAGGAGCAGCTGGTGAGCTTGAACCACCGACCTTGCAGTTCAAAAGGCTTTGTAGTCTGGTGCATTAACCCACAGAGCCACAGCAGGACTGCCTTGTTACTGGTGTTAGAAACCAACTCAAGGCACCTCAGCTTGGGCTGGCTTGTGCCTTGATGGGCAGGCCTGAGCCTCAGAGGTTGGGCAGGGGTCTAGCGAAGACAGAGGGGGTGGAGGGCGGGGTTAGTGGCTACAGGCTGATGGCATCTCTGTCTGATGACATCAAAAAATGCCTCTCTCTGTCTCCCTGTGCCGTGGGCACCTGTCCCGCCCTATCTCCACACCGATAACTCCTCCAGTGGCAATGAGGCCCCCCCCTCGCAAAGGACCATGTTAGTTCTTGTGGCCCCACTGGCTCTCTGGGTGTGCCCACCCTCCAAACGGGTCCGCTCAAGCCCCGTACTCCAAGCTCTGCAGTGGGCGGGCGCAGTCCCACAGAGCGGGAACCTAGTGCAAGCCGGTACAGGTGGGCGGAAGCTCAAAATGCCCACAACTCCCCAGCAGTTTGATCCTACAAAAAAGCAAGTTCATAATGTTGAAGGCTAAAGTCTTACATTTGCCCAAAGGCTGTCTGTCTACCAGGCGGGGGCCTCCCCTGTGCGATACCACACACACTTTCTCCAGAGCCTGCGTACATGTGCTGCCTGGTCAGGGAAGTGCCGGAAGTGCAAATACCTTTTTAAAACAACTTTTAAACAATAAAAGATGACTATACACATGAACCTCACTAGATGGAATGCACAGAAATAAAATTGACTGCATCTATGGGAAGATACAATGAATAACTTCAATATCATCAGCTAAAACATGGCCAAGGGCAGTCTGTGGAACAGACCATCAATTGCTTCTATGCATGTTCAAGCTGAAGGTGAAGAAAATTAAAACAAGTCCATGAAACCCAAAATAAAACTTTGAACATATCCCATATGAATTTAGAGATCATCTCAAGAAGAAATTTGACACATTAGACACTAATGACCAACGACCACAAGAGTTGTGGGATGTCATTTAAAAAATTATACAGGAATATAGCAAATGGTCATTAATAAGACAAGAAAAAAGGAAAAGACCAAAATGGATGTCAAAAGAGATACTGAAACTTGCTCTCCAGCAGAGAGCTGCTAAAGCAAATGGAAGACGTGAGGTGGTAAAAAAGTTGAACAGAAAAATTTAAAGGGCAGCTCAAGAAGAAAATGTCAGAACATGCTCAACATTTCTCATGCTGACAAAACTGAAGAAAAAATTTCACATTTCAGCTTGCAATATTTGAAGAAATATTTGGGCAAACTATTGAATGAGCAGAACACATTAAAAGAAGATGGCGGCAGCAATGGGCTCAGGCTTAGCAACAATTGTGAGGTTGGCATGGGAACAGGCAATGTTTCATTCTGTTGTACATAGATAGGGTTACTATGAGTCAATGTCTACTCAATGGCTCCTAACAACAATAACATATATTTGTGGGAACAGAAATTCTTATCTCATGTAGCAGTGGGTAGACTTAGACCTTGTCATTCATAGTCCAGTGTTAATCTTACAAGCCACAGACCTCCCTCTGCAAAGACGACAGCTAATAAAATCCTACAAGGTCTTAAAACCAAAAACATAGTTTAACTTTGTCATTGTTGTTGTTAAATTTCTTTGAGTCAATTCTGACTCATAGTGATTCTGTACAGTGTTTCCAAGGAGCAGCTGGTGGGTTTAAATTACCAACTTTAGGAATCCAGTGCTTAGTAAAAGTCAAACAGAAGATAGAAATTATCAAGCAATATAATTAATAGTACATGCAAATAAGATTTTGCTGAAGACAATTAAACAATGGTTGCAACATATTTATAATTAACTTCCAGAAATGCAAGAGATCATTGGATGAGGACTATTATTGCTGTTATCAGATGAATCTTGGCTGAAAGCAGAGAATACAAGAAAGATGCTTACCCATGTTTTACTAAAAATTCATTAGACTGTGCAGATCATAACAAATTATGAATAACATCATGAGTAATGTAAACTCTACAACACTTACTTGCACTCATACAGAAAATGTCCATAGATCAAAAAGCAATCATATGAATAGAACAAGGGCATACTGTGTGATTTAAAATCAGAAAAGGTGTGTGTTAGGGTTGTCTCCCTTCACCATACTGAAACAATCATTATGATGAACAAATGATCTGAGAAGTTGAACTATACAGAGAAGAACTTGACATCAGGATTGGAGGCAGACTCATTAACAACCTGTGATATGCATATGATACAATCATGCTTGCTGAAAGAGAAGAGGACTTGAAACACTCACTAAAGAAGATTAAAGAATACAGCCTTCAATATGGACTACAATTCAAAATGAAGAGCACAAAACTCATCACAATTGGGTCAATAAACAAAGTCATGATAACTGGAGAAAAGATTGAAGTTGTTAGGTGTTTAATTTTATTTGAATCCACAATCAATACTCATGGAAACAGCAATCAGGAAATCAAATGATAAAATGCTCTGGGCAAATATGGTACAAAATATCTCTTTGAAGTCTTGAAGAGCAAAGATGCCACTCTGAGTAACAAGGTGTGCCTGAACCAAGCCACGGTATTTTCAATCACCTCATATGTGTGTGAAAGCTGGACAATGAATAAAGAAATACAGAGAAGAATTGAGGTCTTCAAATTATGATGCTGATGGAGAATATTGAAAGTACCAAGGACTGCCATAGATTGAACAAATTTGTCTTGGAATAAGCGTAATCAGAATGCTCCTTAGAAGCAAGTCTGGTAAGACATTATCTGAGGTACTTTGGACATATTATCAGAAGGATATGGTGTTTAGTAAAGTAAAAGGTCAGAGAAAAAAAAGGAAATCCTCAAAGAGATGGATCGACACAGTGGTTACAACATCAACTCCAACATAGCAATGATTGTGAGTATACAGTATGACTAGGCAATGTTTTGTTGAGTTGTACATAAGTTGAGGACACCTGAAAACAACAACAGTTAAAAATGTTTGCCTTAAGCATTATGCTCCTTTAAGAATTATCGTTATGGAATAATGGTGGCAATAGCAACTCAATAATTAGGTAGATACCCTACGGACTGGTGAGTGAATGTTAATGGTGAAAGAAAAACTCAGAAAAGGAGGGTGAAACTGGCTGCAAAGCTTATGTAATCAATGTCACTGGATTGTACATAAAAATTTGATGAATTGATATATACTCTTCTGTGCATATGCTTAACAACATCAAAAAATTTAAAACATAAATTCAGTAACCCAATGGAGAAGTTCTACTCTGTAACACATAGGGTTGCTATGTATCAGAATGGACTCAATGGTAACAGGTGTAGTGTTTTCTTTATTTTTTTAATAAGGAAAGAGTCACATTGGAATAGTATATCTGGAGGTGACTGTGTTGGGGAGAAATAGTGGGTGTGAAGGATGGAGGCATATTTGATATCCCTAAATTATTTAATAGATTTCCATTCATTTTTAGGTTGGAAGTAGCCTAGGAATGAACATCATCAGTTCAGTCTTGGCTGCCTCAGGGATCATAATAACTTCTATCAGCCTGAGTTATACACCATTCCATTATTCTCATTGTGTCCATGATAATATGCAAGATAAATGCACCATGATTGTGTCCATTTTAACGGTGAGTGCTTCCTCCTTAGTGGGTACTGTGGTAGAAGCAGTTCATAGGACTCCTGGTCTAACAAAAATACCAATCAACGTTCTTTAATGTCTAGATAATTTTGAAGTGATTGAGAAATAGGCAAATTTTTATTAAAGAGTCAGGGCCACATTTGGCATTTCTTCTTGCTTATTCTCTGTATGTGATCAGACAAAATGGGAAAAGAAAGCTCATATCTATCAAGTACCACTACGTAGCAGAGTGTTGAACCCTTTGGATCCTTTTCTTGTTTAATGTCACAGCTATGATTAGATGCTAGTGCATGTCTCTCCAGGGTGTCTTGACTGAGCTCCTGAGGGACTTAACTTGGTTGTCTGAATAAAGTAAAATTGCCTTGATTATTATCCTACAAGTGATGAGTAACCCAGGGTCCATCTCAACATCTCTAGGTGTTCTTGCATGGCTCATCATTTCTATGCCCAACATCCTACTCCTGGCAAATCCTCAATCTCCATTCTGTATTTTACAACTTTTCTGTTCTATTGGCCTCAATGAACTGTATTGTCCAAATTAGTATTGTTATGGAGTGAATTTTGTGAACATTGGACCATAAAGTCACAAGATTGGTAGTTCAAACTCACCAGCTGTTTCTTAGAAACCATATACAGGGTCATTGTGGGTCAGAACATACTTGACAGCACTTAACAACAACAACAACATGTTTAGGAGTCCTGGTGTGGTGTTGTAAGATAAGTACTGGACCACAATGCCAGTGATTCAAACTCATCAGCCGCTCCTAGGAAACCTAATACAGGAACATTCTAAGCTTGAATTGACTCAAAGGCACTCACCACCAACAACAAAATTGTTCAAGTCATATGAAAATAAGGATTTTCTTTTCTTATGTTGATAAAGCCATACCACAGTGGCTTGTGTCCTACACCCTCTTAGTAATCTCTTATAAGAGGGAAGCAGGCACACACATAGTTGTTGTTGTTGTTAAGTGCCATCGAGTCAATTCCAACACACAGCGACCTTGTATAGAGTTTCCAAGGAGAAGCTGGTGAGCTTGAACCACCGACCTGGCAATTCAAATGACTTTACAGTCTGATGCATTAGCCCACAGCGCCACATCAGGACTCCACACATGGGGGAAGTCAAATTCCAAGTGATAATTCATCTATAAACCAAGGAATGCCAAGGAATACTTTGGGCTACCAACAAGAGTCTCCTCTCTTAGTTGATTTGGGCTTCTAACCACTACAACTGTGAGGTATACATTTTTGGACTTTATAATATATATTTTTGTTACTGCAGCACTAGGGAACTAAAACAATCGCATAAAAGATTTTGCAGGTAGCAAAACTTCTTGAACGTTTGGATTATGGGATAAGTGTGTGTATGTAGGGTGGACGGGCAAAATTGGTTCTTGCAGCACAGGATAACAAACTAAAACATAAAATTAAATATTTATTGTTAAAAAATCACTTGACCAATCTCAACACCATTGAGTTTTCTGTGATCATTGCCCCGTGTAATCTTCAAGCCTTCCATTAGGCTTTATAGTCCCCCACCTTTATTCTCATTGTCTTCTATCCTCTGCTAAATTTGGTCCTCAGTATTATTCCTAATTTATTATACAGACCAATTGATTGCATTGCTTTTGCTTCACTCTCAACTTAACCTATGTTTTGAGGGTTACATGCTTAAACAAATTAACCCCTTGAGGCAAATTTGTTAAGTGCATTTATTATTCTCTATTTTAAACAAGTTTATCTCTTGCCACTCATTCAAAATATGAAATGAGATTAATCTCTTCTTCAGAGAATTTAACACATTTTTCTGAGGTTGCACAGTTAAAGTTTGGCAAAAGCAGGGTTTAAATCAGGGACCTCCTGTCTCTAATTTCATTCTGTTATTTACTATTGTTCCATGTTGTCAGTCAGAAGAATGTTTTATGCTCGTTTTCTGAAGTGTCCCGCATTAATAGACCATAAGAGGGCAATGAAAGGGACCAAATCTGTACTTGACTAACTTAATAAGGATGGGTTTCCTGGTATCTGCACAGGGTCTTGTTCACAGCAGGGCCTGTGCATGGTTTAATGTTCAGCTATCACTGTCTTGAAATATTTTTTTTAGTAAGAAGCCAACACATTTTCATTTTTCACTTGGTCCTATAAATTATGTAGCTGGTTTTGCTTTTATCTCAATCACATTTTTCCGGAAGACATCATGAATTCTTATTAATTATGTGAAGATATATTTGTACCCATCATCACACCAGAACACATCCATAGTAACTGTCTGGAATCTGAAGCAGCAGGTATTTTTTTCAACTGATTACTTTGAGCCCATGAGTCTATGAACTCACATTGTATGCTCAGTTCTAGAGTCAGTCCTCTAGGAGACATGGAAAAGAGATCATGTTCCTACCTTTAGGGAATTCTAATTCTCTTGATGGGAACAGATCAGCATCATCAGCATCATCATAATTCCAATTCCAAAAGTTAGCTTTCTGAAGGACCAGAGAGTTTACCTTTGAATACAAGAAAAAGTTAGGAAATGCCAAAACTTTTGTAGAAAAGAGAGGTTAGATAGTGCATTACCTGGGTTCATCACTGTCGTTAAGTGTTCTTGAGTTGGTTCCAACTCATATTTACCCTATATAGGATTTCCAAAGAGTTGAAGGTGGGTTTCAACAGCTAACCTTTGGGTTAACAGTCCAGTACTTATCCTACCATGCCACAAGCATCTAGAAGCATATTAAATTGCCAATGATCAGCAATACTTGATCTAGAAAAGCCACAATTCCACTTGTCTCAAATGTATGCATGTTTATTTGCTACTTTTTATTGGAAATAGAGTTTGGCACCTATTTTAATTTATAAAACTCAGCCTCATCCATTTATTTATATATTGTCAATGGTGTATTTGTGCTACAATGGGAAAAATGTTGAGTACTGACAGTAGAAAACTTATGGCTTGCAAAACCTTAAATATTGACTTTTACTTACAGAAAAAAGTTTGTAATCTCCAATTAACCACTTTGAATGAAATTCTTGAGGACAAGGACATTTTCTGTTTTATTTGCCCCTATATCTTCAGTACTTATTACAGTATTCAAAATACAGAGGTTACTGAATACATGTTTGTTCAAAGGATGAGTGAATAAATAATAAATACAAGGATTTTCCAGGTCCACTTGAGTCCGTGTTATATCCTGAGCCCCTTATCCATAGGTTCCTCCAGAGTGGAGGGATTATTCCTGTGGACAGAATGTAAGGAGAGAATGAATGATTCAACACAGATTCCCTGGCATCATTTTAGTGAAATTATTAAACATAAGAATACTTCACAGTGGCCCACAAATCTGACCATGTGCTTTGGTTAAAGATTCAACCTAAAACCAGTTAACCTAGGATATGGATTAAAGACAGACTCTTTTGGTGAACATTACTTTAGTTTTTAATTGTTGTTGCAAAATACTGCCACATGTATTTAATTATTCAAATTAATTAATTAAAGTAGAATTTATGGAGATTGGGAGTCTGAAATGGGTTTCATTGGGCTAAAATTCATATTTCAGTAGGCCTGTGATTTTGTCTTGTTTTTTCCTCTGGAGACTCTAGAAAAGAACTTTATTCTTTGTCTTTTTCTTCTTCTAGAGTCTACCTGGATTCCTTGGTTTATGGTCCCTTCCTCTATCTTCAAAGTTGGCAATGCAGCATCTTTAAATCTCTAACTCTTGCCTCCTACTTATAATAATGCTTATAAATTACACTAGAATCATCCAAGTAATTCAGGAAAATTGCTCCATCTTAAAGTTAGCTGCTTAGCAGCCTTTGCCAGGTAATTTTATATCTTTACAGATTCTGGGGATAAGGACACAGACCTCTTTAGGGAGAACATTTTCTACCTGTAATTATGGAGATCGGAAATCATCCACTATATCAAATTTCTAGTGTTTGAAGGGACTAAGATGATAATTACTTTTATGAACCCTTTCCCCTCCTTTTCAAGTACTTTCACATTCTGTGCTCATGTTAGGACTGCAAAGTAGTGGAAGTGTGTGTTGGGGGGTGGGGCAACTTTATTTATTTATTTTTATCAATGAAGAAAGTGAGAGAATAAGTGGACATTCAGCAGGCCAAGACATGACCCAAGGTGCAGCTGCAATGAAAGACAGTTTTCCTATCCCTAACTAATGTTTTTGTCTCTGAGTCCTGTCATCAGGAATCAGTGTTAGGAACTTGCTGTCTTCATGTTGCTTTGTTATGAATTTGTTCCTAGGGTATGGATGGTATAGTGCTTGTTTTAAGCGTGTTGGAGTTCTGCATTGCTGTGTCCCTATCTGCCTTTGGATGCAAAGTAGCCTGTTGTAACTATGGTAATGGGGTGAGTATTGGGC